TCATGTTTTCATATGCTAACCAAGATCAAAACCCGTACTCTAATATACGCGCACTTGCGTTTACCTGTTCATTTTTTCGTAATAACATCTAACGGGATCATTGTAAAAGTTTATCGACATTGCTTCACATGTTATTACTGTATAACATTCTAATCATGAAATATTGTTGCGTCTATTTTATCAAACCAACGACAAGCATGAGATGGGAAAATCGATACAAAAGCGTAATCCATCACTATAGTACGATATAATATCTACCAGAGTGCTAAATTTTTTTGACACATAATAATTAGATATCTTTAGATATCTTTTCAAGCGGTTGATTTCAATTTGAACACGATTTTTGTACTTTTTAAGCAAGGCAATTATTACTCATTAATTACAAACTTATTTTTTAATAATTCACGTGTTTGATTATAAATTACGTTCACAAACGTACTTATGCGTATTTACCGAGATTTAATAACAATAAACGCACACACATATATTTAAGACTTTTATAATTTATAGCGCGAATTTAACAGTAGTTTTACTAAAAATTGTTTTTTGATCTTATTTGATCTTATTGTTATCGTTAGTGGGAACAAAATTCCGTCATTCAGAACAGGAAAATTAATTCTAATTCTAAGAAAGCTAAAGATTGACATGCATGCGCATATATATTTATTACCCGAAAATTCAATAGCGTTGATATATACAACATACATATATATGTATATTGCAAATCATATGAAACCGCATGAGCATGTACGTACAATAATCAGAAATGGCAAGCAATTTCACCAATTCGGTCGTACTCTTTTTTTTTTTTTATTTATTAAATAAATAAATAAATATTTATTATTAATATAATTTAATATAATAATAATTAATAATAATAAAAAAAAAACAGTTGATTAAATAATCGATTATTAAACAAATGATCACCAATAATTATCATCCACCAACAACAAAATAAGTAAATAGATAGAGGATGAATATTATTTCGTTGAGAAGTCGTCGATACAATCGAGATTATCAAATAATCAGACCAATAAAAAATCCGAAACAAAAAAAGAGAAAATTGATAAATGCAAGAAATTTGGTTAACAAAATGCACAAAATCAGTGTTCAGATATACTTTTTTTTTTTTTTATGATATCAGAGCAAATATGAAATGATTGTAGTTCTGAAGGGGCTAGTCAGAAGTTACTAGTTAGAAGTTATTAGCTAGAAGCTACTAGCTAGAAGCTACTAGCTAGAAGCTATAGCTATAGTAACATGTATTAAAAAAGCCGAATGCAAATTTCCTTATTTAGGTATTGCGAGGAAATTGTTTTGACGATCCTCTGCATGAAAATATCACAAACCGACAAAAATAGCTGAGGTACTAATGAGGTACTAATCATATAGGGTAAAAGGAGTTTACACTGCATGGCCACATATTACACCGCATGACCACATATGGTAAAGGATACCGGTCAAAATTAAGTAGGGTTAATTAACGATATCTTATGATCTAGTGATTAGAATTGAACGATTTTGGTCAATATATCATGTATTATTAGCTAAAATACTTAACTGCGCCATAATACCCATGTCCACCTTATATAAAAAATATCAAAAGCATATCAAATTAAAAAAAATATTAGATATTCTGATATTTATCTAATATTTATTTTTAGCCTAATATGCTTCTAATATTATTGTTATATATTGCCAATATAGATCAGATTTTTGATACCAAGAGTTAGCAATAGATAAATATTAGATACCCAATATTTATATTTTTAAGAAAAAGAAAAAGATTAACTATACTTTAATTCTTATACTTTTATATATATTATATTTAACTATTCAATTATATTACTAATTATTAAATTTAATCTCTTCTAATTAGTTCTGCCTAATTAATAATTTGTAACATGTATAAACATGACTATAATGATGTGTGCACAAGATTTTTTTGAACACAGCATGTATAATAGCTTTATTAGATTAGAAAATAATATTTTTTTTATAGTTAAGGTTAGCCTCTTTGGCTTATCACTTTTATTAGATTTAGAATTATGTGGTGTCCTTTTTAAAGTGGCCCCAAAAAAGTACATTCTGATGAGAATACATTTGCACCTTTTGGATGCCTAATGAGTATTCTACCTATTTGCTAGGTGCTATACTAGATGTCATATCTATAACCTACTATTACTTGAGTTATCCAATTAAACTCTCTAATCTAAGTTTCCTATATCAATCTGTCTAACTGACGGGAGTATTATTAGTTGCACGTGGTTGAGGTACACAGATTATGTGATTTAAGGGTATATGACAATTAGTGGGATCGATGTAATCAAATAGGTTGTGCAACTTTAAAGCATAATCAATACAATGAAAAGTCAATTTTCGAATTGTATTAGTAATAGAGTTATCATTATCAATAATAAAGTCTATCGTAGTATAGTGTAATAAATCTATGATGTAATCTCACATGAGCAAAAGTAAATAAATAAGAGGTTCGATCTTAGAGATCGAATCCAGACTTTGGAATTTTAATAAATAACTAGTTACTAATAAACTGTGCCTGGCCACTTGAATTGTGTTGGCGACGAAGGACATTTAGGAAGGTGTAGGCTGGTGATATTACGAACTGAAGTAGACGTAACAATATAAAAGCGGGTGCAGATTATAAAATACAAACCTTTGGGCAGTTTGGGTGCAAAAGCATATTACATCCATTAACCCTACGACAAGAAGAACGTGGGCAATCTCGCTATTTCTTGCACAAAACTAAACTGTGAAGAGTTTAAAGCAACAAAAGACTAACGTATATAATAAACTCAGTCGGAACGACTGTAACGAATTGGACGTAAAACGAAACAAGCAAACTAACAAATCTCAAGAGAGAGAAGATGGAGACCAAATTCAAAAAGGTCGTAACAAGTAGAACGAGCATTACGAAGTGGTGAAGAGAGTGAAAAAGAGAAACCAAAAGGTATAAGACAAGAGTTAGAAAAGAACATTCAAGTGGACTTAAACAAAATGGAAAGTTTAGATACAACCAAATCTGTATATAAAGGTGCTAAAATGGATGATATCGAGAATTTTTTTTTCGACTATGAAGGTTATGCAAAATCTAAGAAGTATGATGATGAAACCACCTGCTTTAGGATGTACATGCATATGCCAGAAAGTATGAGAGTATGGGTACGCAAGTTGGTACAAACTGAAAAAACCTGGACTGCGTTAAAAGTAAAGATCATTGAAAAGATCAAAGCTGAAAACGAACCAGAGATAAAGATTCTTCGGCTAAGACGTATTAAACAGAATGATAAAGAATCAGTTAGAGAGTATACAAATAGATACGAAGCACAAGCCGAACCAATCAATGCGAAATTGAGATCTGATGAGAAACGAGATTGGTACATCCATAGGCTTAAGGAACCATATCATTCTAAGGTAGAAGGTTGTTGTCCTAAAGACTTGATAAAGCCAGAAAAAAGGTGTTAAGAATAGATGAATATAAAAGAGAAAAGAATTATAACTATCAAGAAGATCAACCTTCTGAAGAAACGGCGTATACAAATAAGAATGACGTAGACATTGATAATCTTGTGTCCGAACTTGCAGCCTTAAAGATCAATCGTATAAAACAGAAAAGTCAGTCAAAGCATAACCAGATTGAAGATCTAATTCAAAACGTAGTAGCAAAGACAATCAAAGGTATGAATAAAAAACTGAACCAACTTTATAATAACAAGACTCGAACCTGCTATATATGTAATCAAGAAGGACACATTATGAAGGATTGTCCAAGTCGAAGCAAAGGTGATGATCAAGTCAAGAAAAACATTAAATTCAATAATGTTGACATACGAATAGTAGAATTCACAGAGGCAAAACCAGAAACTGCAAAGGAATATCTAAAAGTGGAATTGCTGGACAATGAAGAAGGTTATGATATAAGACCAGTAAACAAGCGAAAAAGAGGAAGCCTTGATAAAACACCAGAGCAATTAAGCAAAAGGGGTAAAACTTCTGATCAAGTGATCACCAATGAGAAATCAAGAAATCCTGAAAATATTATGTATATACCTTTCTCTGAATTATCTGATGAACTCGACATATTAAAGAAAATCGTCAGAATGGAAATAATGATTAATTTGGGCCAGTTATTTAAATGGTCACCAAAAGCATGTAGTGAAGTTATAAAATCATTAACGCGACGAAAAAAAGAGCATGAAGTTGATAACGTAAACACAAAAATAAGAGTAGTACGAGGTATATTGCAAACTACCAAAGCCAAAATAGGAGAACTAGTACCTGTATGGACAGTTAGAATAATGGCGACATAGTAAAAGCTCTGATTGATTCAGGGTCCCAAATAAATCTTATGCTAAAGAAATATGCTGAGAAAAATGATTTAAGGTGGAATGAAGTCAGAGAAAAAGGTAGAATGGCTGACAACAGAACTAGTCAATTCATTGGGTACATACCTGTTGTTGAAGTCAATATGGAAGGAATCGTTGTAAGTCAAGGTTTCTATATAATGGAGATGGCCAGTTTTGATGTACTACTAGGTATGCCATGGAATGTGAGAGCCCAATGCACTCTAGGTTTTAAAAGAAAGAATATTGGTGTATTATCTCATCTCCTTCAAGATCTGCATCTTTCATTATGTCAACAGTACCTAGAAGCTAAATTGGAAAAACGCAAGTAAGCGATGTTGAGGACGAAATTGATAGCGATGATGAAAGTGATTATGCTGAAGTCGACGATGTTATGGCCATGAAACGAATAAACATAGATGAATTAGGAACTATACATAGGAATGGTTCTGTACAAAATGTTATTAGCAAGGCGAAGAATAGACAAAATATGAGAATACATGAAATCGAACCTATAGAGTATGAAGAAATAGAGGGATTGTCATATTATGGAAGAGTGAGTTTTTGGAATACAAAAGACGAAAATGACGATGGTACCATCAATGAAAAAAATGTATCTGTTATATCAAGACTAACAATAGTAACAGTAGTCTGATAAACCTGGGACCAAAGGTGCATGAGGAACCAATAAGAACAATGATAATTGATTGATTAATAAAAAGGGTACCTGAAGTTTTTGCATATGAATTGAAAGATATTGGAAAAATGAACCTTGTTGAATATGAAGTCAGAACCGGCGATGCACTTGTCCCATCTATGAGGTTGCAACCTATTAGGATAAACAATCCTGAGGTCAGAATTATGTTTGAAAATCATTTAAAAGAAATGATGGATTGTGGATTGTTGAAAAAAGGTTCTGGGGAATATGCTTACCACTGCTTCTCAGTTCAAAAAAAAGAAGGAGAAACCGATAAAATTAGGGCAGTTGGTAACATGAAGCCACTCAATAAGTACATTATTAAAGACAGTTACCTATTACCAATTATTCGGGATATTTTAGAACAAGCAGCTGATCATAATTGGTACATGTTGGTTGATGCATTCAAAGGCTACTAGCAGATAGGAATTAAAGAGAAAGATCATGATAAAGTAGCCTTAGCCACCTCTCTTGGTGTATTATATTACACAGTGATGTGTATGGGGTTAAAGAATGCAAGCGCAACCTTTTAAAGGTTGATGGATCGACTATTAGAATGAGGAAGATAGAAAAACGTAGCAGCAGCTTATCAAGATGACATCGGTATTTGGACTGATGGCAGTATGGATTATCACTTAGAAACATTTATGAAATTAGCTGAGGTGTTCAAAAAGGCTGGCTTGACTTTTGCCACTAAGAAGTGCTTTATTTTATATAACGAATTGGAGATGTATGGTTATGTTGTAGGTAAAAAGGGGATCAAGATAAATCCAAAAAGGGTTACAAAAATTAAAGAGTGGAAGGAACCAAAGAGCATAAAGGATGTACGATCATTCCATGGAACTGTTAATTATTACAGAAAGTTCATCGAAAATTTCAGTAAAATAGCAAAGCCACTTACTGATCTGATGAAAAAGGGAATGAAGTTTAGGTGGGAAGATGAACACAAGGTGGCATTTGATTTATTAAAACAAAAATTAGCTGAAGACTTTGTATTGAAGGGACCTGATTAGCAAGTAGCCAAGGATGGATGGAAACCATACCATATATATATTGACGCATGTGATTATTCTGTTGGCGTCGTGCTTGAACAAGAAGATGAGGAGAGAAGGTTGAGACCTGTGTCATTTGATTCAAGAAAATTGAATGAACTTGAGAAACATTATAAGGTCACAGAAAAAGAATGTTTGACAATCGTGTTCAGATGTCATGTGAATGAAAGATATGTTGGAAGAACCGAATTTAATATTTGGGTGGACCATCAAGCTTTAGAATAGTTATTTAACAAGGTGAAATTAAAAGGGAGACTAATGCGGTAGGTTTTGTTGTTGCAGTCCTTCGATTTCGGGTTCGGTACAGGTTTGGAAAAAAGTATAACAACACTGATAGTATGTTGCGTTATCCTGATTCTCCAGCACAAAACAAAGATACCGACGATGATTTTGTGGAAAATCTTTTGTATAAAGTGACTTAGAATGCTAACAGATTAGTGATCTATGTTCAATAAAGCATTATTTACAACACTTGAGTTGGGAAGCACATGTGAAATCATGTGACCTGTCACGATTAAAATGAAAATTAAAGAAATATTGTTTAGTCGGTAACAATTTATATTTGAGGTTAAGAAAGGGTGCCTCTCCGAGATGTGTAATTCTAGATGATTGTGAAAAGCACCAAATTATAAAAGCAAGTCACAAAGGCTTGAATAATGAAGGTGGTCATCGAGGTATAAACAGAATAGCCAATATGGTGAAGTTGAAGTATGTATGGAGAAAAGGTAACCTGTATGAAGATGTAAAAACTGTGGTATCAAGTTGCGTAATATGTCAACAATGTGCTCTGAAGTTGCCTTCGGAACCTATATATGTGGCATTGACAAGTTAGATTTTTGAAAAAATCTATATCGACTGTATAGGGCCCTTACCCCGAACTGTTTCAAAGCATGAACACGTAGTATTGGCGATTGAAGACCTAACTGGCTATGTAGAAGGTAGAGCTCTAATACATAAAAATGCTAAAAACATAGTTCAGTTTATTTAGGAGGAAATAATCCTACATTATGGATGCTTTACAGCATTAGTTTTGGATAGAGGAACCGAATTTAGAAATACAATTGTGGAAGAGCTTTCGTCACGACTAAATGTCGACCAATGATTTGTTGCTAGTTACTATCTCAAGGCTAATGGACATGCTAAACATGTTGTGCAAAAATTCACTAGAATCATTCGAAAATTGTGTGCAGAACGGCAAAATCGTTGGCATAAAAATGTTCGAAGTGCCATTTGGACAATAAATACCACCGTAGGAGATTTGGGGTATTCACCTTTTGGTTGGTCTATGGGAGAGATGCAATCATGCCAATCGAATTGGTGATGGAAAGTTATCATACCTTTATCTCTTGAAGCGAATGGACCACCGATCAATTGTTGGAATATAGGACACTACAAATTAAAGGTCTGGTTGGTGATTTGAAAGACGCACGATCTAACCGTGATGAAATAAGAGAGCAATGGAAACAATTCCATAACCGTTGGGCCCAGAAAAGAGATCTGGTTATTATTGGTGATCTTGTTTTGGTATACGACTCGACCTTGGAGACCTGCTCTTGTAAACTTGACTATCGTTGGATCGGTCTCTATAAAGTAACTGAAGTGGGAAAACATAGACAATGTTATGTTGAAGAGGTCGATGGATCAAGACTAAAGGATCTAATAACAAGAAACCGAATCAAAAAATTAAAAATGGACGTCCACGAACTTAACTGCGAAAAAGAAATGGGTAAAGATCGAATGAGTCAAATAGATGAAGAGCAATCGGATTACGAGGAATATGTTTCTTCAGAAGATAATCTATCTGACTTCTTACAAGATTAATAAAAAAAAAAAATTTTGAAAAATGAAATGTATGTAATATTAGAGTGATTATAGGTAATACATTATAGTTGGATGGATTTTATGAAGGAAATTGATGAATAAAATGTAAGTTGATGCTGAGAAGTGTTGAAAGTGGAATTATATGGGTCAAACTTTGGGACAAAGTCCTGAGGATCTAGCTCATGACGGGGGTATTATTGGTTGCACATAGTTGAGGTACACAGTTATGTGGTTCAAGGGTATATGACAATTAGTGAGATCGACGTAATCAAATAGGTTGTGCAACTTTAAAGCATAATCGATACAATGAAAAGTCAATTTCCGAATTGTATTAGTAATAGAGTTATCATTATTAATAATAGAGTCTATCATAGTATAGTGTAATGAATCTATAATGTAATCTCACATGAGCAAAAGTAAATAAATAAGAGGTTGATCTTAGAGATCGAATCTAGACTTTAGAATTTTAATAAATAACCAGTTACTAATAAACTGTGCCTGGCCACTTGAATTGTGTTGGCGATGAAGGACGTTTAGGAAGGTGTAGGCTGGTGATATTACGAACTGAAGTAGACGTAACAATATAAAAGTAGGTGCAGATTATAAAATACAAACCTTTGGGCAGTTTGGGTGCAAAAGCATATTACATCCATTAACCCCACAACACTAACCTCACCTAGAACATGCGATACATTAGTCATTCCAAGTTCTAGAATCATCACATCCACCTATAGGACTACTGGCATGATTAACTAATTCATTTTCAAGTATATTATTTGCTAGAGCAGTTCAGTATCCACTATTCCTATATTGCCTAATCTTCTTTAGTAAATTATGCTGAGTCTAAAAATAAGTACTTGTGAGCTGAGCTTTACAGTTACTTACTACTGCACTTATAGAGTTCACCCAAACCTAGGTAAACCTACAGACTATTACCAGTATCCCAGCTATCCCAAACTACCAATTCAGATGGCTTGAAAGGGCTATAACCTGCTTTGGTTTTTATAATTGGGTCCTTTTCTTCCGGTTACTTCTCTGGTGGCCTGGTTGGTGAAGTGTCTTGTAAAATTCTTCAGTTCTGTTTAGTTTATTCAGTTTTTCGAGTATTAAACTGCATGTAGTACTATTGAAGGTCTATGCTACTTCTCTATTTGGAACTTCCCAAGCAAGCACTCTACTGCCGTATTGGCCCTGTGGCTTTCTGCAATTCTGAAGGACTTATCTTAGATTTGCATTGACTAAACTAGCTTGTATGCCTTTTGTAACTCTTTTATTACACAAATGACCCAGAACCTTCTAATTTTTATCTTGGTATGACTACAGTTACAGAGTCTCGAGTTTTTCTAGCCATGATGATAGTTGCTGAATCTGTTTTTCTAAAATCCAATTTTTCACCTTCTGTGAGAATTGAACTTATATGAACAATACTTATAATATTTCTATTTTAAGATTAGATAATTGATTGTTAGGTGTTCTGATTAGTAAATTTAGTAATTGTTTTTTACAAAAATTATTTGCATTGTATATTAAACTGCTGGGATTGAACTGGTTTTAGACTAGAGTTGTAAACTAGTTCAGATCCAGACTTTTTAAAGACTGGACTGAGACTGGATCAGACTTTTTAGCATTCCTAATTAGGGGTCTGATTGTAAATTAGAAGAGTGTTCTATATGAACATAAAAAGAATTTATTTTATTGTATTTATAAAATAGGTTTTTTTGCTTTTTCATTGTTTTTAAATTCATTTTACTTAGCAGAATAACTTTATTTATGGCACTAAGATTAATTTATTTAGTAAAATTTTGAGTTTTGGATATATGAATATTTTTAAAATCTTTTATTAAATTCTGTAAAAGCAACCTAAAGATTTTATGCTTATTTAGGATAATTATTGTATTTTACAGAAACTTAAATGTCTTAATGCACAGGTGAATATTTAGTTACTATTAAATTTCATAGTAGTTGTATAGTTACTATTGTAACTGTTGAATTGGAGAGCTTATAAAATAAGACAGAAATGATGTCAATCTAACTTCAACGGTGTATGGATAATAAGGCTAACTTTGGGTAAGTGAAATGGGTCTTTTATAAGCATTAAAGAACTAAGAGAGCGAGATGATACTATAGAGTAACACTT